AGTCGTGCAAAGTTCAAAGGTTGCATAGGGATGTTTGGCATCCCGATTACGCTTGTGACTCTCATTCTCGGCGCCAGCGCTAATTTGAGACACTCTGATCGTCTGCGCTCTGCCAAGGCTGAGCCTTGCAGGAAGGAATCAGTCCTTCCGTGCCTGACTCATCCTTAGGAGTGTCCTAAATGGCACCAGCCGAAACGAATGTCGTATTCGTGTTTAGGACACCAAACAACTTTTATGCAAGGTTTTATCGATTCTGGCGGAAGATTGGTGAAAGCGACAAAAAGAGTGTCACATTCGTGATTAGGTGCAAAATAAACTCTAGGCAAATTTTAACGAAATTTTTTTGGGTTTTGGAGTCGCGGTGATAGATAAGGTCCTTCGTTTTACTTCTTTAAATCGAGCTTTTCAGAATATTCTCGGAGGGGATCCGTTTCCCCTGGAGCCAACTCCGGCGATGAATATGATGTGGGGTTCAGAGACGATGCGGTAGGTTTAAATGCTAAGCTGCTATTCTGATCATATCAGGAAATGGACGAATTTAGTTGGAGGCCGATTTTGCTCGTTTGCTGAAAAGAACTCGTGGTTTTGAGATAAAGGTAGTGCGAGGTGATGGATCCTGTATGTTCAGAGCTGTAGGTCAGTTTTTTCTCTCCAATATGGCAATCAGTCCTCGTATTTTACGTTTCGCTTCAGCGGATCAGCTATATGCAGACCAGGACATGCATGGTGAAGTGAGGCGACTCTGCATGGATTATATGGTAAATCTTATTCTCACTGTATCGAACCTTTTCCCGATAAATCTTACCTTTCAGGAGAGAAATCGAGATCATTTCGCTCCTTTTGTCGCCGAAAACTTCTCGTCTTACGTTGCGCGAAAGCGACAGCCTGGTGCGCACGGTAATCATGTGGAACTCCAAGCCATCTCGGAAATGTTTGCGCGTCCCATTGAAATCTACGAATACAGTGAGAGTACGTTCTGCAATCTGATGGAACTGGTGCGATCATTATGTTTTCTAATCGTACTTATTTCTTTTAGATCCAAGAAATGTATTTTACCCAACCATAAGGTCACTCGATGTAAACGTGCCTATTCGTCTTAGCTATCACGGTTCGTCTCACTATAACTCAGGTAGGCAGCTGTTTTTGAGATTTGTAATCAGATTCCGAGGGCAAATACTTTTGATTCCATCGCAGGGTAGTGCTTTCTGCTCCCATCAAACTAATCATGAAGCAATGCAAAAACTTAACAAAAACCACAGAACTAGCCTGCAAGGTTGAGGGAAGTACCTCTGACCGCCCTTCTGAAGCAGCAATTTGCGATTCAATGTTTTTAGCCAGAAGCCTCTTTAAATGGTATCGGCTGTCAACGTTATTGCTGCAGTCTATCCCATTTTCAAGGGATGTCAGCGGGCTTAGCTCCTTACCGAACAAATATTCTTGATGTTACTAATAACTTTGGGGAAAGGGATATTGAAAGATTTTCTTGTGGAGAACTGTCATCCAAAAAGAATTGCCACCCTCTAACTTCGCTCACCAACCCTGGAGCTTCGTCACATCCAGACCTAGGCAGAAGTGCTGACCATGGATTCTTCGAAGCCACCTTCCCACCCATGGTTATCAGCAATCCTTGCTCTTCTGTCACTTTCCTTCACTT